TGAGACGGGGATTTTTACTTCTGAATAGAATGTCTAGGATTTATATTTTTAACCAAAGACGTTCAGGAGGTAAATCTAGCTGGCAGAAAGGGTTTGAGTGTTCTCTGTCTGACTTCCAAGTGTCTAGGGAGTAGTGTATAAACTTAAAAACTACTGAATATCTCTTGGTATGTCTGGGCAGGCAGATGTACTTAACGCTGAAAACTATCTTCACACTGCGTGGAAGGGAGAGGAGGAGAGAGGAAAAAGAGGTTTCACTGAGAAATTCGAAGTGCAGTGCAATATTGCCCATGGGAAGTACATCAGATGTGATGCCCACTGAAATGTTTGTTTCCTTGTTCTCTTTGGTATTGGACAAAGCTTTCATTCTAATTACCTTAAAAACTGTATTTTGACATCAGTATGAAGAAATTTCTAAACTGAGCAGGGTTTCTAAATGTCCTTGCTAAACCTGTAGTCTTTCATGGAATGTTGTAAGTAATGGTTATAGACACAGTTGGGAAGGGCAGATAGTTGCTCATTTAAATCTTTGTCCTGAGGTTTCATCCCATGTTCTGAGTTGTCATTACGAGACAGGAAGATGGGGAGGAAAAAAGATGGCTTTAGATATACAGCTTTTGTTAGGTAAAGCAAGACATACCTCACGCAATATAGATTGTATTTGTCATAGTCCATAATACTCTCCTTCCTAAAACAAGTCTCCCCAAACATAATAAAGTACAGGTGGCACTTACCATAGCAAGGGTCCTGCTGTTCTCTTTCTTGACGTTGCTCACGGTGTCCATTTCAAAGTGCTCTTGAGGTGCCTCTTAGCTCATTCAGCCATGCAGACATATTGTGGGTTTCATTCCAGTCCAATCTCGAGGGTCTGTCATGGTCTTTCCACAAGTGACCCCATCCCCCTATTTTCAGTCTAAAAATCAGACTGTTGTCATGAAGGACAGAGAGATCTGTCTGGAAGGGTGGTAGCAGTAGAGTTCATTAGAGAAGGACCTATACAAAGTATCTTGCTGGGCCTGCAACACTGTCCCTCACTTTTAGTACAAACCTTCAGATAATTGTGCACAAAAGTACAGCATTTATCTCTACTTGCACCTGGATGGTCTTGGGGCTTGGTATTTTTGGTGTTCCTACTAAATCATAATCCTATCTCACAGCACAGTGGTGTATGGCAATAGCATGCTCATTTTCTCTGCTGTTGGCAGAGCCTAATTAATGAAAAAGTCTAAAGCAGACCTCTTGGGCATTGAGAGACTAAGGACCCCGAGAAGGAATATGTATGGGCAGAAAGCCTCAGGTGAGCAAATGGGAAGTAGATGTAAGGTCTGGAAGAGAAAGGTATAGGTAACAGGGGTGGTGGCGGCAGGCTACCCAAACACTACCTTCACTCTGTGCATTGGGTGAGTGTAGAGGAACAAGTCACGACTTACTGTGTGCTCTGCTCTAAAGCACACTTCATTCAACTTGTATTCAGACCATCCACTGTGTCTGTCTGTGTGCCCCACCCCCCACCCCAACACATTCTTCTATATTTGAAGCAATGAAGAGAGTAATGCTTGGTCAACATACATGGTGAGACAGACGGTCAGACAAGTGTTTGCACCTTCTCTAAGAATTCCCATATCAATTCCTTAAGGAGCCATAAAAAAAGCAAGTGGAAACCCTGCCCTTAACATGAACAGAAATCTTGGTGCTCTGCATTAAGCCACTAACTACATTTTTTTCTCATCTCATGCTTTAGAATTTCAGTCAATCCCTGCAGAGGGCAGTAACGATATTTTTCTTGCTGATAACAGACATTGTCTACAAGTTTTTTTTTCCTGTAAATCACACACTGGATTAGATGAATAAGTACTTTGAAGCTGTACTACTTATCTTCTTTGTTAGGTGAGCACATGATAGGTCTTGCTTACATGTCTGGAGTGTACTAATAATAGAGATCTGAGACTGGGAGAAAACTTTTTGATACATGCATCTAAATAAATATTTTGGTCATACCGTTTCATTGTATTGTACTATTTTGGCTCACCAGGGAGGCATTTCTGTTAAACTAAATGGCCAATAAGGTACACAAATCCAAATTGCATATCTAATGGTCCATTTGTTCCTTAAATCTTTGAAATGAGAAGTGTGTTGTTCCAAAAGTGCTCTCTTTGAAATCAGTAAACTACTTGTGGCATTCAGCGACGCTCAACATGGATAAGTATGACTGCATGTCCTACCTTATACTACAAAAAGAAATGTTCTAGTTGCAGATTTTTAATAGATTAGGTATCCTGGAGGTAGCTCACATTAGTAGAAAACATATCTGATGACTAAACTTAATAGCTGTTTAATTAACAAAATTATGTGACTCTTTATATGTTTTCTTTCTTGAGTCAAATTATCACCGCCAGTTCTAGCTGGATTATAGTATGCTCCTCATAAACTTGATATGTTTGTCATTTAGTTGCCTGGGACATGAACTTGCAATGAAATTACAGGTTAATTCAGATGATACAAAGCAATGTCATAGCAGAGATATTTCCAACTAATTATTATTTTTACACTGGAGGCAATATCTCCTGTGACAATTCACTATTGTAGCAAAAGATGGGCTGAATTCTTTTCAAATAAGTTGCAGTACATTTGACAACAAGAATATCTACCTACACAATGACATGATGGGTGCAGCTAGTAATGTATAATTACTTAAAAGTGTTGTTAAAGTATACTTGATGGGGTTCACATTTAGGTGTGACAAATCCTTTTAAATATACTTCACTTGTTATAAAAATACTTACAAAGTGTTTTTTTATCAGCTCAAGTGCCACTCAATACAACAGTTCTGGAGCTGAACAGGCATTTTCATCAGCAAAGCATTCAACAAAAGAGATGGTTAAACTAAAAGCATGTTTAAGGTCCTCTGGTCTTTTGAAGTGCAGAACGCTGTACGCAAATATCGCTTTCTTGCCTGGTGAGAATCACGCTAACTCAGTTAAAATCTGTGTCTTTTCCTGTTAAAATTTCATTTGCCTTTCCACAATCTTACATACACTCTTAGCAACCCATAAGAGCATTTTCTGACTAAGTGGCTGAAGCACCCTTTTATCCTTCAGCTTAACTGTGAAAAAGATGTCATTCCATATTCAATAAACATGGACCAACTGCTGCATTAATACATGAACGTGTGCGGTGTATGAGTAGGTAAAAAGTAATATTTTTGTTGCCTCACTTAAGTCACACAAATCATAAAAGATGTGAATGTAATTTTCCTCATTATCACACACAGTAAGGACATAAAATAAGTTTCCAAACTCGGTTGCTTTTATCAGTTCTGAGGGTTGCTGAGAAAGTAACTGGCTGAAAACAGTTTCAGCCTTGCCTCAGGCACGCAATCCCCTTCTATAGTTTACCTTAATGGTGGCTGCCAACCAGTGGCAGATATTTACCATCATATTTTTTTTTTTCCTTCTGACTGTGCCCAAAACATTGTAAAAGTCATAAATATGAGATGCCCTTGAAAACTCCACACTAATAGAGGAAAAAAATTGCACAAACAAGTTCAGAATGACATCAGGTAGGAAAATGATGCAATCACTTGCTTTTTAAAAGAGAATACACTTAATGTGCACTAATTTTAAAAGTATAGCTACTTGCATTTTTGCTTCATCTAAATAATTTTGTATATAAACTCCGATTACCATTATTACTTTTTGACAGCTGTTTAGAGTACTGTGAGATTTTGTGGGATTTAATGTGGAAAATAAAACAGGAAATTTAAATGAAAAGCTAAGAGAAAAAAAGCGTTCCTTGAAAAATTAATGTAAAAGTACAAATGCTTACCTTTGTGTTTGGGTGGCATAACTGTTATCATATGCCTCGTAGCTTGGATCATCATATTCACCCCCATATCCATCATCATATCCCTAAGGGAAAAGTAGAACACCATAGCTTAGAAGAGTGATAAATCAAAGCATATTATCAAGCTGTAAAAGCAACTTGTGTCAACATATACGTGCTATGTTTGCCCAGTATTCTGTAAAACATGCAGCCTACTGACGAGAATTCTGAATCGTGAAGAACAACCTGTAAGTTGCAAGGGTAAAGAAATCAGTTACTCATTTAAGAACTCAGCCTATTCATTGATAAACTGTGGTGTATTGTCCAAACCAGAGTGCTTCAGTGGGTTCTATGAAGAATGCCGATGAATGATAATGAAAACAATAATTTTCTAGCAATTTTTTTTTACATAAATGAATCCATAAATACCTATAGGTGAAATGAACAAAAGGCAGGGAAAATATATTGACTGTACAACATTATTAAGAATGTTTATGTGATAAGTTCATAATATTCAGCCTATTTAAAAAAATCCAAATCCAAACAACCTATGAGAAACAATATTTGTGCATGTTTGTGAAGTAATGGGTTACGATTTTTATAAATAACTTACAGTAAGCACCTTTTCTTTCATGAACATCCCACTCTCTTTGAAGGCATGCTTTTCTGTGACAAGTTAATGTACACTTTAATACAGGTTCCTCCCATGTAACTTAATGGTCCTAACTGAAGGGCTCAGACAAACGCTCAGTCTGCCTGAAAGACAGAAGTAACTTCAGAAGGTGGTTCAGCTCATCTACTGCCTGAATCTTCTACTGAGGGAGCCATGGGCAGTTATGATCCATTGTAGCTGCCTCTGAACCAGGAACCAGACAATAAATAAATAAAGAGATAATTCAGGGGATGACTTCTGACATGCCCTTTTCATACAACAGGACAAGAGAGTAGGCAAGAAATGTGGTACAAAACCACATTTTTTTTTCTCTCTGAATTTTGGGAGCCAATGTTTTTAGTTAAATAGAAACCAAACATTTCATAATCACAAGAAAATTTTCCTGTTACGGGAAGTGCTAAAGGAAATAAGGGGCTTAAAAATCTTGAACTCAATATTAATTACAGCAGAAGGCGATTCCTCCCCTCCCCCCCCCCCCCCCCCAAGCTATGCAAAGTTTAGTTAGGTTGGGGTAGAATGGGCAGCATGAGACAGCTCCAAAGTAACAGCAATCCAATAAACAATCACTCTGCTACGCTACCATAACCACATGAAGTACAGTGTTAGTTTGGTAATTCATTATTTCTGCTAATTAAACTCCGTAATGGTATTGAAATAGACTTCACTGGCACTGCTAATTTAAAGAAAACATTCAAAGGAGGAAGCATTCAGTTATGTCCGCTTAGGCCAAGCATATTTAATTTGCCTGTTCTTCTGGTCTCCCACCCAGCCGTGCGCGTGGATTCCAGGTGGGGGATTTCACCCCTGGGGTGCTGCATGGCCTGAAGGACAGACAGGATTTTGGATGGTGGCTCCACTTCTCAGGCACCTGCATCAGCTGGTAGCAAGGGAAAGCCTTTCTGGGCAGGAGGGCGAGTCCCGTTTTGAGACTGCGGAATGGCCTCTCCCAGACTCTGAAGTCCAGACAAACCCCGTCACCTTCCATTTCAGGCAGAAACGCACCAGTTTGACTTGCCTTCATTAGTATAAACTCATAGCAAAAAGTACAGTTAAAGACATCTCCCTGCAGACTGCAGTGATACGTTTAACATTATATAGCTAAATTCACAATCTTGCTTCTGGGGACAGGGTGAGAGCAATAGTGAGCCACAGGAGACAACTGGCAGTCACATCGATTAGTACCCTCCTGGGCGGGATCCTGCTACTGTGGGGCTGAGGGTGACACAAGTTCCTATATAAAGTTGAATAGCCAGAGGGAAGACATTTCAGCATGCTTACCCACCCTGTGAGAGAACAGGAAAGGCAACAATTACAAATTAGCGCTCTCAGTTTCTTGACGCCTGAGGTGGATTGACGCTCAGCGCCAGCAGGGCAGAGAACACTTGTTAGCACTTGACACTTCTGTGGGTTCACGTTACAGATTTTAACAGCCTCCCTAAAGGCTGAGAGCAGGTCAATACAGTGCAAATGGTTCAAGTGGAATGGTTGGAAAACAGAGAGAGAGTAAAGAAGCACAATGTATCTTTAATAAAGAAAAATTATTTTCTGGATAATGTTCCCTCATTTGTGTCAATCTGTATAAGAATTATCTTCAAGTCCTACAGGTGAACTATTTATGTAAGGTATATACAAGGATTTTTTCAAAGTTTAATACTGTGTATCATACCCAGACAACCTTGTCCCAAAGAACCCTTTAGGCATCTAGAATTGAGATCCAAAATAGCTCCTTTCACATCCCTGAAGTGCCTCAAACTCACTGAGAATTTTTCTTCTCTTTAACCTTCAGCTCCCCAGAACCTACAATTTTAATGTCTGAAAGTGTGCACATTCTGAGAGATGAAACACCCAGCTCTCATGTAGACCCTGTTAAGATCCAGAGGTTATGAGTCTGAGGATGTTCAAATTCACATATTGTGTTCTCTGTGTGTGATGATGACGGTTCTCCCAGGCACTTCTGTATAAATCCATAGACCAGAACCCAAGATGCCCTCTCCAAATGCAGTTTTTAATGTAAAAATAAACAAACCATTCTAAATTGATAAGCATTCTGTATATGTATGCTGATAGGAACAGAGCAGTCCTCTTAGAGAATCTAAGTTACTAGTGCTGTATCCTCACCTCACTGAAGGCAAAAGGATTGATTACCCATGCTGTCAGTGTTTTTAATATGACGTTTTTTCTCCTGTATATTCTACGGTTTCATTTATTTCACCAGAAATCTTCACATACATGTGTATAACACTTAGATCTTCCATCCTGTATGTAAGTTCTAATGGTTTTTAATTGAGCTCTGAGCTTTTCAAGCAGAAATATCTCAGATAAAGCAATTTTGGGCCTGATCTGATCAATGTCCACCACTGGAGAATCCATCTCCATGCTCATCAGAATATTAGAACACTTGCATGAAAAGTTGATAGGGTCAAGCCACCCAGTTTCAGTGAAGAAAGCACTTCCCTAAATCTTCAGAGTTCTTTGAAGAAGTTAATGAGGGCACAGATAAGCAGGACCCCAGGGAAACAGGTTCCTTTGAACTCCGAAAAGTTACTAATGAGGTTTAATTCTCAAGGCTATCCAAGGGACTGGGGTTGGTTGCCTGGGAAGACTCTTTTCCTGTGTGAGGAACCACTGCCATTCAGAAGGAAAAGGTTACTGGAATGAACTGAAAAATATGGAACGATTCTCAAGGCTATCCAAGGGACTGGGGTTGGTTCTGCCATTCAGAAGGAAAAGGTTACTAGAATGAACTGAAAAATATGGAACATTCAAAGTCAAACTGATAGCCATTTCTAGGCTAGGTGTTTATGTCAGGGTGTCTTTATCTCAGGTATTTCTTAATAAAAAATCTTTCCAAAACATAAGAAAAAGACCTCTTTACTTCATGCCAGGGAAAAGGAAAGAGTCTTTCAATGACTACGACTTGCTCTGGCCTTACAGTGATACATCCTGAACTAGAGATAAAGGAACAGAAATACACATCTGGAACTGCAATGGGGTTAATAATGTTTATAAACAATCCTGGATTATTTTGAGGAGTTTTATTTTTTAACTCCAAAAAATACTAACAAAAAAAAAAAAGAGAAAAATTAAGGAAAATTTTAAAATACAGCTCAATTCAAGAAAAGACTAGTTTGAAAATGAGCTTATTCAAGTATGTAACAGTCTCACCTCACAAAGTGAAGATAGGAAAACCTCTTAGAAGAATCTCAGAATAGTATTGGCAACACTCACTTCAGGAACAAATATGCACCACTCTACCACTGATAAAGAAAATTATAGTCAGGAGAAAAAAGGGTGTAGAAGAAAAACAGAACATAATTGGAAAAAAGACTTATATTCTACTACCTGGGAGAAAGTTAAGTATCAATTTGATTCAACACCCATTGAGAAAGGTTTTATTTTTTTTTATTTACTCAAATCCTCTCCAACTTTCAGATGCTGAAACAAATATTAGAAATACAAAGAGAATAATTACAACCAGTAACAAGGGTATCATAATCTAATGCAATCTGATCTCTTTAAATGGATTTCCTACTTAATGTTAAGACCCTATTTCAAACAATAACAGTCCACACTCAAATGGTAAATCACCTCTTCTCTGAATAGCCTTAGAAAATAGGATTTTCACAGCATGCTCTGAAAAATGGTAGGTTTCAGCTCTGGGAAACCAAGAAGGAAAATAATTCTGATACTTCTAATAAAAACTGCCCTACTCACAATATTTTACACATGTTCTGGTAATACATGATAAAATACATTGTAAGGAAGTCAAAACTATTTAGTTTTTAATAGAAAATACCCCAATTCTTTCTAAAGTGGCAAACTGCAAAATACCTAGACCTTTTTTTAAAAAAAAGCAAACCACAACCAACAGTAAGTCAAAGTAAAGTGAGTTATGCAACTCTCTACTTTACTTGGCAAGTATGTGAGCAAGAAAAATGTCTGCAGCCAGAGAACCAGGGTGGCCCTTCTCATTAGCTGCACCCAGCAGTACACAAAAATTAGTACTGTACCTCAGAGAAGGTGAGGTTATAAAAATCAACTTCTAATTGTAACTGTAAGTAAAACCAGTTGTTTCCCAGTAAAGGGGCCTTTGAGTAGTTTCCACTGTTTTCTTCTCCTTGCTTCTATAAATCTGCAAATGCTGTCTCATGCTCTTTTCATAGAATCATAGAATGTTTTGGGTTGGAAGGGACCCCCAGAGGTCATCTAGCCCAAGTCCCCTGCAGTGAGCAGTGACACCGCTAACTACATCAGGTTGCTCAGAGCCCCATCCAACCTGGTCTTGAATGTTTCCAGGGATGAGGCCTCCACTACCTCTCTGGGCAACCCGTTCCAGTGTTTGACCACCCTCATTGTAAAGAATTTCTTCCTTATATCCAGTCTTTTCTGTTGTGACTTGGCCACTTCCATATT